GGAAGTCAATACAAAGTCTCTATTTAACATTTAACTTGAATATTTGCAGAAAACATAAAGATAAACTCTTTATTCATTGACTGTCAAAGAAAAAAAAGTCTCTAACTCAGAAGGTGACCCACAAATCTGCTAACACGTTCTCATGTCGGACCCTTAACATATTGACGCTGGGCTCAATATGTTGACGCGCGGGAGGTCCATCCTTGCCAGGGCATGAGAATGGGCTCAATCTGCAGCTTATTTTAAAACAAAAAGTTTTCATGGCAGAGTTTTACACTAAGATCATCTTGTGTCTGTGATGGGTTGTGACCTGTCCAGGGTGTCCCCCGCCCCCTCGCTCATGACTGCTGGATATGGACACCAGTGACCCTGAAAGGAAAAAGCGGGTAGCTAATGGATGGATGGATGGATGGATGGATGGATGGATGGATGGATGGATGGTTCATCTCGTGTTCAGAAATGATGGATTTATAGATGATTCAAATGACAGTATGTGCAATTTCCTATAATATTGTAAAATACGGTCAGAATATGAGTTGTGAAAGTCTCTCTAAGCTGCTATAACATCAACTTTTGGCTCTCTCTCTATATTTTTATAATAATATAATAGTGATAGCCATTTCTTGTGTTGGTTGTTATAGCTAGCTGTGGCGGCCATCTTGAATTGAATTGACTCAGAAGGGTATACCAGTTATAGATACGCTGTACATCCCGGTGTACAGCCAATGAATATTTCCTGAAACCTTAATTAAAATCTGTGATTTATGAGATGTTTTGCTAACAGAGTAAGCATTAAGTAATTGCAACACTTTAGACATCTTGGACTCTATATTGATGAGAGTATATAGGAGACTGAATCGAAGCTACAAACACAACACAGTTTAGCTTAATATTTATGAAGATGTCTGAATTATAACAATCTTGGATTTTGGAATAGAATAGAATAGAATTGTCCCCCAGTTGAAAAAAATCAGAGCAAACAGCAGCGCACAAGACGACGCGTCAAAGCCGGACACCGAGGGAACCTGGGAATGCCTCAAGAACTGACGGAAAGGGATGACCCGATGCATCAAGAGGGAACCTTGGGAAAGCATCAATATGTGACGAGTTGGGAGTGAGAATGGGTTTTTTCATTCAAAATTAAAAAAATGATACAATTAAAACAATATGTAATGTTCAGGGTAAATTTGCTGTGGTAACCTTGAAACGAGGTGAACCAAAAGTCAATCAGTTCTACATCCATTAACGTTCAGATTTCCTTTAATTCATCCCGTACCTCCCATGATTTTTTTCACATATAGACTTGAGTAAAGAGTGTTGCCAGATATACAATAATTATTATATGTATGGTTTTAGAGCCTGTGCAATACAAAACCCTCACTCTCAACACACACACTCTAAAAATGAAATGTTGGATTTACTTAACCATGTTATGTGACCTGGTTCCACTTAACTGAGTTGAGTAAATTCAAAGCAACATACTCATGTTCTTTGGTTAAAAAAACTGGCATGTTGCTTTGAATTTACTCAACTCAGTTAAGTGGAACCAGGTCACATAACATGGTTAAGTAAATCCAACATTTCATTTTTTTACAGTGTAGTTTGGGTCAAATTTAGTTCTGTCAAAAAGCCAACAAACCAACAAAATGCCCTGATACTCGGGACCAATGCTGATGCCAGTAATAAGTACTAATATTCAATGTGTTACAGTTTACATTTCAAGTGAAAAGTTAAACTACACAGGTTGTAAAAAAATCTTATTTATTATTTATTTGGGAACTTTGCGTTTGAGTCATGCTGTATATTTGTTTTGATCAGAGGGGCTGTAGACACTTTGTTCTAAATAAATCAATGTATTTTAAAGTCATTGAGTCATTCTAATAGGCTGATGTCTGGCTGGCCAAAATGAATTTTACTCAGTTTGATCTGGACAAACTTTGTCAAAATGTAATGGTTTTAAAGCGGCAACATGGTGTTTTGTCATTTCCTGGCTGGCAGCCCGGTCTTCACCTGCCTTTTACCTTTTCAGTGGTGAACCTGAGCCCGTCTCTCTCACTTCCAACAGACCTGCCACCTCATTAAAAGCGGCCCGCGGGCCACATTGACAACCATTGCTGCTGTCGTTACACTGATGCACATTTTCTAGTAAGAGACGCCAGTGCGCCTTTTCTTTCCTTCCACCGCTTCGATCACGGACGTCGGCCTCGCGTGCGCACTTCCGAAAGACAAGCGTGGAGGCGGGGAATGAAACGTGGTTGTGAAACACGTTCTGGTGACAGAGGAACATGTGATTCCGCTTGGTCATAGTTCTCCGTTTCCCGGCTGTTTCCATCAGCAGCCAAGCCGAGCGTTCCGTAAACACTGCCTTCATTTGTTTTCTCCGCGCAGCCATTACACCCCGTGATTAAAACCGTTTTTACATCGAGCCTCCGCTCACTTGTATTTGTGTAAAGCGGATCCATTTCATGTCGAGCCGTAATGTAATAATCCCGAGCTGTCATTATGGCCCAGATCTCTCCTCCGGGGTGCGCCGGAACGCCGTGCGCTCCTTGTGCGCTTATGAGAACCAGACCGGGCGCGCGCGCGCACCCTCACCGGGTACAACTGGAGGAAACAAGAACGGGCCTCAACGAAAGCCCTCAAATTAATTTGGGAAATGTTAACTTCAACAGAGAAGCAGCGAGTTTCACGGAGATATTTTACCCTCCAGATGTCCTGAATTTGCAGACTTTAAATATTTGCGGCTTTATTTTTCCTCCCGGTACTTTCAGAATCCAGTCTATTTAAGGTATCGGCTGTCTGAACAGCGGGGAGAAACTCTGAAACGTATTGAAAGGCTTGTCTCTAGTAAAAACATTGCTTTAAGGGGAGAATAAACGGCCCCCCCAAAAAAACACAACTTGAGGCATTCCGGACCGAAGTGCAGACCATCAAATCCTTCCGAGGGCCTAATTTCAACAAATTAACTCTGAGGAGGTGATTGGATTTGAGTTTGATGAAATGTTTTTAACTTCAAAATACTCTCCAAAGTGTCCCTCCCTGGACCGAGGCGCATCAGGACGCAGCATGCTGATGTGTGTCAACAACACATCTGGAAAGCAGACAAACAAAAAGATCACCAGCTACTGGTTTTAACGAAAAATCACCATGTGTTGTTTTAATGTTGCATTTGGTGTTTTTATATTTTAGTATTTATTTCAGAGCAGCCTCAAATAACGACTGCAGGTGTCTTTTTCTGCTCAAAGCTAGAGGACTCACGGTTTGGAGCTCACTCCCTGTCGATTCAACAAAACAAACTAAACTTTGGTTGTGTCAAAAACAGCATTGTGTTTAAAATGTTTTTTTTTATTGTTGTCTTCATTTCTGACCATGCTTGAAAGTGTTTTGTTGTCATGATGTAGCCTCACTGTTTCAACTCTGTTTATACCACTTTTAATTATCTTACTTTTTTAGTCAATTTCTTAGATGCACTGTTTATAAAAGCCCATAAGCAAGTGCTGCACATGATCTCACACTATAAGCCCAGCGGCACAGATTGCTGTTTTATTCAGTTTGTCATTCATGTGTCTGTCACTATTAAATAAACTTAATTAATTAATTAATTTTCTTGTTGTTTTTCTTGTAACTAAAGAGGCGTGATGTGCGTAATTTTCACATAAAATGTAGAATTTGGCTACGTTCACACTGCAGGAAAATGTGACCCAAATGCAATTTATTATTATTATTATTATTATTATTTTTGCTCCATGCTGCCCATATTTGATTTTTCATGATCTGAACGCGACAAATTGGATTATTATTATATTTTTTTATCAGAATTGAGCATGACGACCTGCAGTGTGAACGAAAAAAAAAAGGAGTGCCAAGGCTGAGCGTACACTACAAAACACATTTAACATTAAATTGGCGGGGTAAAAAACTAACATTTCAGCTCCTCTAAAATGGCAGATGTTTCATTTGAATGTAAAAGCTGCAGCTAAAGGCGTTTCAGTATCACCGTGGTAACCACATACCTGTATCTTTCACTCCCTGACATGAAAGGTGAAATGCAAGTAAGCCTTAAACTCTGTTTTAGGAGAAAAACAAGTTCAAAAAAATTGTATATCTTTAACTTTTAAACAGAAACCAGAGGGAAGTGAACAACATTTTGGATATTTTTTATTCAAATTAAAATACAGCTGTGAGAGAAATGTTAAAAGAAGACAAAAAGGTCTTCATTTTGTGTAATGAAAGTATTAAAATTTGTGGGAATAAGATTTTTTTTTTTTTGTAAAAACTGTAAAGCTAGAGATTTTAAACAGACTTGATTTGATTTGAACATTTTATGGTAAAATAAAAATCACAACACTTAAACYYYGATTTTGTAAAAAAAAAAAAAAAAAATTTCAGGATGAATTAGCGCAGTGGTTCCCAAACTTTTCAGCTTTTGAGCCACAAAATAACAGTAGCAGAGACCTGAGCCCCCAACTATTTTTGGATGATAAACATTTGTATCAGGTCAACTAAACATGGGCATAGTAACAATATTTTTATACTACATTTATCCATTTTAAATATACTAACCTCACTCATTTGTAACAACTAAGGCAAAATATAATTAATTCCGAAAATCTTTTCAGGACCCCACCTTGATGTTTCGGGACCCCACTTTGGGTCCTGACCCCAACTTTGGGAAACACTGATTCAGAGAAGACTCACTTGTTTTATCAAAATCTCATTTGGGGTTATGTTTCTTTCTTTTCTGAATTTATTCTGTGCCATTTGATTTATTGGGTTCTTGGTACTGTGCGTTTTAATGTATTTTCAGGGTTTTTCAAGCCGGTTATGAAGCCAATCGAAAGTTACAACGAAAACAAAAGAAAAATACCGGAAGAGTTTAAGAAAGCATTTAATTTGATCCAACTGAGTCAAGAGTCTGAGACTCCTCTCTTTTCCAGAACTAAAACGTAAACAACTCCAGAAATCATCTGCTGTTAGAAAAGCGATGTGTTTGTCTTGTTTCTTTTCAGTCAGATTTGGTTTAAACTCCGACAGCCCAGCTGGGATGGATATTTTTTGCAGCGCAGGCCCGTGTGCGCAGGAATGCGCGCCTCCTTCTCGGTGACGCGCACAGGGGAGCCCGGAGGATCCAGCAGCGTGAAGGAAGAGAGGGGCAGGAAGGGGAGACGGTGGCATCATCGAGGCAAGACGGAGAATGGGGGCAGGTTTGTGAGGTGGAGAGGCGTGCCAGTAATTAAAGTTTTTTTTTTCTTTTCTTTCGGTGGTGGTGTGGTGAACGGAAGCGCGAGCCTCAGAGAACACGTGAACACGCACCCGATCGGATTTTTTACGCAGCGTCACGGAGCCGCTGCGAGAGAACGGGGGCTTCTCTGAGCCGCTGTTTGTTCTTGGTTCGGACTCAGCTGGGACCCGTGAGGGAACTCTGCGCGGGATTTGGTTCGAGCTCCAAATTCGGTTTGGGAGAATCCTGGCGCAGGATGCAGGGTCTGAGCTCGCGGGCTCATGCTTTCTCTGTGGAGGCGCTGGTGGGGAAGCCCTGCAAGAGGATGAGGGTGCTGGAGAGTTCAGGAGGCGACGGGAGCGACATCAGCGGTGAGAGGCGAGGACCGGGGAGGCTGCTGGACCTGAGCCAGAACGTCTCCGAGAATTTTACGCACAGTTTTACGCGCGGTTTTTTTTTAATTTTTATTTATCTTTGTTATTATTTAGCTTCGCGTCATTTTGGATGCAGAAATACTTGATTTTTAAGTTGTATTTAGCACATTTTATTTTCAACATTTCACTCAAGCTTTCTGTCCCACTCTCCAGGTGAATATCCCAGCAGTCAGCTGAAGGAGGCAGGTGGATCCACGCCTTTCAGAGACCCGCAGACCGACAGATCTGAGACCGAGGAGGACTCCGAGCCGGCCTGCGGGGAGAGGAAGCCTGTGGAGAGCGACTGCAGGCCGGACAGAGAGGTCCGAGTGGAGCTGCAGGGCTCCGAGCTGTGGAAGAGGTTCTATGAGATCGGAACAGAGATGATCATCACTAAAGCTGGCAGGTAGAAGACGCGCGAAGGATCTAAGGATGTGGTGAACATGTGACAAATAATTACAATTTAATATAGACCTATATGTTCAGTCAGTTTAAAAAAATAGTCGAAAGTTTCCACGAAAAGGCAGCAAATCGAAAAATATCTGACGTGTTTTAATTTGAGCATTTTACTGAAGCAAAGCGCTGTTCTCTTCAAACATTCAAACATGGAGGAGTTTCATTTAAAACGATGGTTAACCAAATTTAGAAAAGTAATTCTGTTCTATTTCCTTCTTCTCGGCGTCAGTTAAGACTAAAATCTAACCTGCTCCTGGTTGATCATATTTCCATGAACAGATCTGCGGCCACAGGTGCGCACTTCTCATTCACAGATAAGCAGAAGAGCAGATCGTTTTCCATCAACCTTTTTTTTTCTTTCAAACAAACGAGAGTCAGATAATAAAATAAACTGAAAGTGCTCACTGATCAGACCAGGAAACTTTGGGATTAAATGTTAAAGACCTGAAGTTATTTCAGCTTTAGCTTTCAAACTCAAATACATTTATTGAGGGTGTTCTTTTCAGATTTTTTTTTTAATTCTAAAAACAGCTTTTCGGATCTGATCCAGGAATCAGCTCTTATTCATGGTGGATGAGTTTGTGTGCATGCATGCTGTCCAGGGATGTGCCGCAGATTCTTCCAAGTCAGATGGTCCTTTAAAGACCAAAGAGCTGTTTATAGTACTCATGTGGACAGAAGACCTCAAGGAGCTTGATGTCCCTCGCCCACATGTAGATTACCAGAGCCCCAAACTGGAGCCAGGTCTGGGGTGAGTCCCTGGTGACCGAGTCTCTACTCTATAGTTCCCCTTTTGGCTCTGTCCAAAGTAGTAACAGTGGGCCCACCATCTTCGGAAGAGACCGTCCAGGTCTGGTGCTATGGGTGGCAGATGAAGGCGTGGGACTGGCCACTCTAACCCTGGCGTACCAAAGCTAGTTCACAGAAAATCACCTCTCTGGTAGAGAAGAAGCCTGAACTTTTGCTTGAGGTTGAGAGGTACTGACTTGGTAAGGCTCATCTCAGCACAGTGTGGGTTGTGGAACCACTCTTCTCTTTAGTTACCCATGTTGAGAGGCACTGAATTGGACTGAATGTTTATTATGGACAGAGTTTCTTGGCTCAGCCAGCGGTCAGAAAGTGTCCAGTTCAGTGACTTCAGGATTCTGCCTCTGTGGTCTTGCTGGCGTTGTCACCATGATCTTCAGATCTCACTGGTGCTGTTCCCAGCCGAGTGTGGCACAGCTGAGAATCATCTTCAGATCAGATCAGATGGTTCTCCGTCAGACGGGGAAGTGCCCTTTGCTGGTTGGGAGTGAGGTGCTTCAAGTGAGTGTCTCAAGGTTCTGTTCACAAGTGAGGAAAGGATGGAGAGTGAGCTCGACAGATGGATTGGTGCAAATTTTGTAGTATTCAGTCTGTGCTGTTTCGTTGCGGTGAAGAGGGAACAGAGCTGCACGGTTTAGAGTTTCATCTACGTTCCTACCTTTCACTTATGCTTATTAAACTTTGCAGTGACTGAAGGAATTAGATTATACAGACAGTCAAAACAAGCTTTCTTGGGTTTTTGCTAGTGATGTGGTAAATGCAGTTATCTTGGAAAAGACTCAGAGCTGCTCTTCCACTCTGAAAAGGGACAGTGTGGTTCTAGATCTGGTGAAGATGCCCCCCAGGTATTTACCACTGGGAGACAACCCCCAGTGGACATGCTGGAGAGACCGTGGCTGCCCTGGGAACATCTTGAATCTGTGCCTCTCAGCTCAAGCTGAAGCTTCTGCGACCCGACTCTGAACAAGCAGCAGATAAAAGACTGATGAATAATTTGATGAAAAATTGAAAATGACACATCTGCTCCTCTTCTGTCATCAGGAGAATGTTTCCTTCTGTGCGCGTCAAAGTGCGCAACCTGGACCCCTGCCAACAGTATTATGTGGCGATGGACGTGATGCCTGTGGACTCCAAGCGCTACAGGTGCGTGTCAAACATTATTTTACCTGCGCCACATTCCCCTGACCCCCTGACCGACCTGAGTTCGGGCCGTGCGGCAGGTATGTGTACCACAGCTCGCAGTGGATGGTGGCGGGAAACACGGACCACTCCTGCATTTCACCGCGGCTCTATGTGCACCCGGACTCGCCGTGTGCGGGGGAGACCTGGATGCGTCAGGTGATCAGCTTCGACCGCGTCAAACTCACCAACAACGAGATGGACGACAAGGGACATGTAGGTAACCTGCTTCCTCCGGGGTTAGTGTGGAAAATAAGAGACTCTTCAGCTGACCTCAGGTCTGATCAAGTGCAGTTCTGGGTGGCAGGAGATGCTGTGTAGATCTGATTTATAAAAACCATAAATCTGTTCAGATTTAGAAATGCAGGAAAAAAACTGCTTCTAATCTCAGCCAATTTTTTTATAGTTTACCTTCTTCAACTGCTTAGTTTATTTGTTTTTTTAATTGTTTTTGCAATAAACAGGTCAGTTTAACTTCATTAGGATTTTTTAGAGAAAAAAATATTTTTTACTAAGAAATTTCTTGACTTTTGCATCCATTGTTTTATCTCTTAAGAGGGAAACAAGTTCATTTTAAAAACACATGTTTAAATTGTACGTTGATAATTTAACAAATAAATTAACCTCTTAATCCAAGTTAAAACGTTGAGTGTAAAAAACAATGTTTACTAAATTGTTTTTTAGCAGATTTAGTAGAACTTATTTCTTTAAGTTTAATTTAAAAAATAGACTTGGCAAATTTAATGATGTCTGTTTCTATAAAATCAGTGAAATATCAGTGCTATTTTTTATAACATTATATGTTTGAGTTTTAATCATCAGTGTTTTAATTACGCCTGTGTCATTTTTTATGTTTTGTTTTGTTTATTTTGCAATAAAAAAAATCCAATAATTTTTTTACAAAACAGAAGAAAAAATGTTTTGCCACAGAAACGTTTTGAATGATAATAAATCTTTTTGTTGTCTTTCATTTGTGTAATTATTCATTTAATTTCAAAAATGCTTTATTGATCCCAAAGGGAAATTATTACAATTCTGCTTTGTTTTTGTTTTTGTTTTTTGTTTTTTTAAAAACAAGCAAAGGTTTAAAGGTGTGAGTCAGTAAATGTTACTTGAAAAACAAAAGTGTATAAATTTACAAGAATTTTTTATTTAAAAAGAAGTGTTTTCAGTTGAAATAATTACAATGAATTTGTGTTAGTAAAATGGGTAGTTTTTTAATTTCCAAATGTCTTCTTTTTTCAGATTTATCTTTGCCATTGATATCATTCAGCCTGTTTCCTCTGCCTTGTCTAAACAGATAATCCTCTCTAAAATAGTAAATATTTTTTAAATATTTTCATCACTTTGCCTCCAGATTATTCTTCAGTCGATGCATAAATACAAGCCCCGGGTGCACATCATCCGACACGACCCGCGGGTGGACTTGTCTCAGATCCAGTCGCTGCCGGCTGAAGGAGTCCACAGCTTCTCCTTCCCAGAGACGGAGTTTACCACTGTCACAGCCTACCAGAACCAGCAGGTACCCCTCGGAGTGAACCGGGTCGTCTCACGTTTTGATTTTAGACATAATCAGCAACATACGTATTAAACGAGGGGTCGGATTTCTTCAACAACAAAAGAACTGGCCAAGCTTAATGTGAAGATTTAAAATGTTGTTTTTGTTGTTGGGGTATATGAAACTGAAGTGACAAGCATGTTTGTCAAATCATAAATTTTGTATTTTATTGTCTGCTTTGCCTGTTACTCAATGTGAATGTGTGTGTTGAGTACCTGACCCTGCTGTTGGCTGCAGTAACAGAGCCGTCTGCAGGGACCGCCAGCTCTTTTCATCGGGGCTCATTTTACGACCTGAGAACATATTATTACAGAAACTCAGTAACAAGCTGTGACTACAGCGGCGGCTGGAGTCCGCAGCCCGTTAAAAGCTGGGGCCGATCCCTGCTCGTCTCCATCCTGCTATAAAACTGAGCTCGCTGTTGGCTTTGCACGTCACCGGCTGACACGTCGTCTCTAACCCGTGTCTGTTCCTCTCTCGTGGGCAAAGATCACAAAACTGAAGATCGACAGGAACCCCTTCGCCAAGGGCTTCAGGGATCCAGGCAGGAACAGGTACGGTGGACCTCACCCGATCCCAAATAAAAGACCCAAGAGGGAGCTTGAAGTTTAACCACTGAAATGTGAACCCATGTAAAACCTTCAAATAACTCTGAGCTGTGCAGTGCTGAATTTCACACCCCTCAGAACTAATATTTGAACACCGACGTTTTACACTGTTTTTACAGTGTGTGTGTGTGTGTGTGTGTGTGTGTAGGGGTGTACTGGATGGCCTGCTGGACTCGTATCCCTGGAAAGGTCCGCTCACCCTGGACTTTAAGCCCTTCACCATACAGCTCCAAGGTACTGAGACGGACTTCTCTGACTATTTTGTGTTTCAGTCAAGTTTGAATGTTTTTGAAAATTTCTCTCTGAAAAAAAATCGGGTTCCTTTTTATTTTGATTGACATGAAATCAACCTTTTGGAATGGAATCTTTCCCTAACAGAATCTTTGCCCATGTTGGAAACCTGTCATCATTTTTCTTCTCTTCCACACTCTTATCTTCCACACTCTTATCTTCCACACTCTTATCTTCCACACTCTTATAATTTTGTGAACATGAACACAAAATTAATTCTTTCTGGTGCTTTTGTGTTGTTTTAAAAGAACTGAAGTTTGACTCTAATGTGTAGTTAAAAAAAGCCCAGCTTGTTTCTTCTGTAAATTGGTTATAGTCTCAATGATTCAAGTGTATTTTCTTTCTTCTTCTTTTTTTTAAACTCAAAAAAAGTTGTTTGAGCTCAGATCAATGAGGCCCACATGCAGGCCACAAAAATCAACCAGAGGATCTAAATTTATACTGTTGATAATAAAAGAAGTTGATACCATGAAGTGATCATTTATGCATAGACCAGTGGTTCCCAACCTTTTTAGACTTTTGTACCCCCTGAGCCACTTTGTCAACTAGTACCCCCTCTGTCAAATGTAATGATGATTCTCCAACACTGTAATGTACTACAACTGAATATTAAAGGAAAATCATTTATTTAACCCCCTACATCAGGGATCATAAAATTTCGGTCCTTGAGGTCCGCAGCCCTGCATGTTTTACTTGTTTCTCTGCTCCAGCACACCAGATTTGAATGAATGGATGATTTTCAGAGGTAATTCACTGACTGAATCAGGTGTGTTAGAGAAGGGAAAAAGTAAAACATGCAGGGCTGCGGAACTCGAGGACCGTAATTGATGATCCCTGCCCTAGAACGTTTAATTCTCAGGCATTTTATTTCTTTCAACTCAAATTAAACATAAAGATAAATATGTTGACTTGAAAATGAATAAGTAATTAAATAAAAAAAACAGGTAATGGCAGGTGCAGAAAACTGCAGCATCCAAAATACATCAAATACCCCAAATGAGCAAATTCCGTGAGATTCCGGGTTTTATACTGGATTCCATTTAATCAGTTCTGTGATTTTGTCTGCACTTTTTGCATTGTGGAAATCATAGGGCCCTGCGTATCTCAGTTCTATTTTTATTTATTTTTTTACGCACCTGGGAAAATTTTCCATGTACCCCCTGTAATATGCTCACGTACCCCAAGGGGTACATGTGTACTCTTGGTTGGGAACCATTGTATTAGACAATCATTTTGCCTGGGAACACAAAGCAGTTAAGAGCAGGAAGATCAATTAGTGTTTTTTGTCTATTTTTGACATCATGTCTCTCCTGTCCGTTGACAGGAAGCTCAGGGTCCAGCAGCATGAAGAACCTCCTTCCTTTCTCCTCCTCCTCATCTCTTCTGCCTCTCACTGCGCTCTCATGTCCGGACGCCGCTCTCCACACCCTCGCCCTCCCCTTCTGTGAGAAGACGTCTCCTCTGTCCTCCTCCATGGCGGCGCTGCCTGGCCGAACCTTCTCCTCCCTGGGAGCGGACAGATTGAGAGGCCTCCCGTCGCTGCCTCCGCTAACGGACCTCCCGCTCCTGTCTGTGCTGCAGGGGAAGAAACTCCCTCACTGCAGGGACCCGTGTCCTCAGGGTTCTCCCGGGAGTTCCCCCTGCCTGATCCCCCTTCACAGTCCCCTCAGCCCCCAGGGCTCCCCTCTCCTCCCTCCTTTTGCCGACGTCACAGGCCCCTACTGTCTGTACAGCTACAGCTTCCCCCTGAGCCCCCAACTCACAGCGGTTTCCCGACACGCCAAACTGTCCGAGGACACCACAGACTGTCTGCTGCGCCAGTCTGCGTGGCACTCGACCCCCAACTGCTGCCTCTGACAGCTGGACCGCACTCCACAACTCACTGCACAGAAGAAGCCAAAGTTCGTTGTTGAGGGGTACTTTTCCACTCATTGAAGTCTCAACAGGAAATGTGACTGTGGGGGAAAAATTTTCTATGTAATAGTTTTGTACAATCTGGACGTACCAGCGAAAAGAGCGAAAAGTATAAAAATAATTCTTAACGTTTCTCTTCAGACTGGATATAGAGCTTTATTTTGGACTCAAACTGTGTATTCTGTATTAAAAAATAATGCTTCAACTTTTACCAAAGATCATCAGCAATAAGACAAGAACTATGAAGAAATAATCACTGTTAAAATGACCACAAGTGCCCATTAAAGTATATTTTCAGCTGTTGTTCATGTCAGATAGGTTCAAAAAGTTATTTTCCATGCATACATACCATATGTATAAATAAAGTGTTTTTTATTTTAGTTGCTAGGGCAAATTATCTCATAATCGCAATTGTAGTTAGCTGAAAGTGAACAAAGGAAAGTGTTGTTTTTAATCCTGAGGATTCAGTGTCAGCCTAATAACATCAGCTCATCAGGTCTGTCTGTGGTTTCAGCTGCCAGAATCCAAACCCCAAGTTTCCATTTATGTACTTTGTTACCAATAAGAGGACTAATCAGAGATGCACGCATGGATGGTGATCCTGCTGAAGATCTTATTGGACCCAGGCAGACTGGAACAAAGATGTTTCCTCACTGAAAATGTCCAAATAATCCATGCCATCCTGGTTACAGTGGTGTGATTTCAAGGCTCAGAGTCAAATGAAAGCCTGTCACCACCGATGGCCAACACAACATTGTTTTCTGGTCTTTACCGAGGATGGGGG